CTTCCACAAATTTAAAAAAAACACACCAGGATGAGGAGGGAAGAAGCAATCTAAGATGGAGCAATGTGTATGATTTCAAGTATTCCTCCCAAAAGCCATCCTGAGTTGCGCACTACCAATGTAATTGCAACAATTCCAAGCTATCACTCAGCAGGATATATACCAGGGGACTATGTTTTCCTGCTTCTATTAATCCTGATAGTGCCAAGCAACGGGTCTTCGTCTTCAAAGAAGCCTTATAGAATGCTTTCCCAGAACATCTGTCCAACTGGAAATAAATCTTCACCCTTGTGGCCTGCAGCACTGATGGAAGGGCTTCGGGGAAATCTCATTTCTCCACGGGAATCTGCTTGGTATTCTTGGTCTTCCTTTTCTTTTACTGTTTGCTAATGTGAAATTGACCCACAATGTCCAGCCTGTGCATTGCCCTCTGCTGGATGATGGGTGATCAGGAGGTGCCCAGTTATGCTGTCTGTTGCCATGAAAACCATGGCGAAATTTGGGAACATTGGACAAAGTGGCCACCAAGAAGCCTCTACTTTGTGCCTAGCAGATTGGTAGATGTAGATGGACAACAGCACTAGAAGCCATCCTGGCTGGCTGGAAACATGTTTTCAATGTGTCCCCATGCCCCAGAGTGATAGTCTTTGGATAGTATTGGCATGCAATATGTAAAGTGCAGATGACCTGCATATGGACTTTTTAAAGTATCTGCAGCTGCTTCTTTGGAAGCAGGATTGTACCTGGTATACACATGGTGAAATAAAGGCAAATATGTACAAGTGCATATTTTATATGTGACTTACAAAACTAGGCTGCCCAATTGTTTTATTTATTAAGCACCTTGTCAATTTGTTTTAAATTAAAAATAGGGTTTTTTTTAGAAAGCAAATACATGGACACACAATGCAAATAATTCTGAAATATGCTATATTGTATAAGAAAATCTTATCTGCAGGCCCTGTTGTGGTGTGTGTGTGTGTGTGTTTGTGTGTGTCAGTCAGTGCATGTGAGTCTATCGTCTGCAGACAATCGAGAGATGTACTTGCTGAAAGCTCTTGGCTCACGTTCTCTCCAATTATTCCCCTCCCCTTTGGGCTCTGCACACATGCCATTATTCTCCCTCTGCGACAATTCTTTCCTAGACTTCCATGGTGCGCTTTCTCCTCTCCTGGCAACAGCAAAGGAGGAAAAAGACAAAAAGCTCTGTGGAAAAAAAAAAGTTGGCAGATGGCAGGCAACCCCCCTCTCCAGCCATTGTTCTTTTCAGCCTCTGCTGCCAACTGTAGGAGAAAAGGCATGTGGCTTCACAGTCAGATGGAGTCTTCTGTAAATGCTCTTGTACAATTAATGGCTTTGAAGGCATTACAAATTAAGAAGGGCCATAAACAGGGGAATGAATTTGGACAATGTCAATGTAATGGTTGCCAGATTGGGACTTTATAGAGTCACTGGGGAATAAATCTCACCCCCCCCCCCCCAAAAAAAAAAAAACTCCAGCTGAAGCTTAAGTACAAAAGTATGCTTTATAGGGAGTGCCACACAGTCATTGAATAGGCTTGCATCCTATTGTATGCAGGAGTAGCCTTCAATCTGTTGGAGCAACAATGCCTTCAAGCCCAGGGATCATCTATCGCTTTTTTCATTTATTTTCGTATGATTTTCATGAGCACTCAATGCATTGGTGGGAGAAGTGGGATCACGACCGTAACTCCACTTTTTAGTTACAGGAATAGTCAATTTGTACAAATATTTTGATCAGTAAATAAACAAGCATGCTCCGTGCTTACATCAGCATCTGCAGCAATGTTTATAGCCAGAAAGCATTCTCTGCATCATCTGGAATCCTGGAAAAACAGAGCTACTATTCCACTGCATACATAATTACATATATTTATTTTACTTGGAATGTGTGTATTTCCACATCACCATGAGCATGTGAGCTTTACATTCCCTTCCCCCTCCCGGAAGATTCCACATTGCAGGTAACTCTCCCCCACACACCAAACTCCTGCCAAAACAAAATGTCTATTATTTATTTGTACTCTGCCTTTATTACTTTTACAAATAACTCCAGGCGGCATATCCAACACACTTCCTTCCTCCTATTTTTCCCATAACAACAACAAATCTGTGTGGTAGATTGGGTGGAAAAGAGTAACTGGCTCAAAGTCACCCAGCTGGCTTACATAGCTAAGGAGGGACTTGAACTCACTACCTTCAAGCTTGGTGAACTGGACCAAGCTGGATCTCATGGACCAGTCTTCCATGCCCAATAGTCTGTGGAATGTGAACAGGGGGGAAATGGCGCTTATTTTATTTTAAAAAAAATTAAAAAACCCTGAAGCTAGTCCAAAATTTAAGTCAGGGGCGTCAAAATGGATACATCACGCACAAGCGCCGCCCACCCCAGCTCCGGAAAGGCAAAAAACATCACGATACGTCGCAATACATCATGTGACATGATCAAGTTTGACACCTGTGATCTAAGTCATTATTATGATTTATTTAATACCAAACTAAGTCATTTATTTAATACCAAACTGGTAATTGGTGATGTTTGAATTAAGGATTGCCCATTCTTAAACTAAGAATGGACATCTCTTTCAGTTTTGATTTTGTGTAGATCATCATTTCTGCATCCCGAAGGGGTAACAGATTAACAGAGTTGGAGGGGACCTTGTAGCTCATCTAAGCTCATCGCCTTGCCATTTTAAAAATTATTTTTTTTATTACTGTATATACATTTTTCCTAACAAATATATCTTTGTGTGCCATTTAATCAACACTTTTGTACTTAATTTTTAAATTTTTCAATAGTAGATAAGTTCTTGGTTGAGCAATTGCATCAGAAAACGGAGAACCATGCAGACTTAAAAGTGCAGGTGATACTTTGTCCTGAAACTGCAATTAAGTAATTGATTCGTTTCCGATTCTTATTTTATCACTGCACTGCATCAGAAATTGCACAATGTGTATAACTCTGGTTCAGAGGTGGGGTTCAATTTTTTTAACAACTGCTTCTGTGGACATGGCTTAGTTGGTGGGCGTGGCTTTGTGGTAATGTGATTGGCTGGGCGTGGCCAATTCAACATCACTCACATCGAGGCACGCATCTCCTCACCTGGCGTCTCGTGACTGTAGCGATGCTGCAATAGTCATAAGTGTGAAAAATGGTCATAAGTCACTTTTTTCAGTGCCATTGTAACTTTGAATGGTCACTCCATACAAGCAAAGTACCAGCAAAGGAGGGGAAAAAAACTCCAGAGAAGTTCCAGAGACAGGAAGTCTAGTCCTTCCAGGAATAAGGGTTAATGGAGAGGCAGTTTCTGTAAGCAACACCAGAATGTTTCCTTCCTGCCTTCCTTACAGGATTAGACCAGTAATTTCTTCTAACAACCGGTTCTCTGAATGTTAACAACCGGTTCTAGCAAATAGGTGCGAACCTGTAGAATCCCACCCCTGCTCTGGTTCTAAGAACAACATATTGAGAAACCAATGTGTTACCAGATAGAAGTGCAATCATGTATAAAAAATACTTCGTTGTTATTATTCTTTCACAAAGCCCTTCATTGGCATATACTGTGTGTCAGGTTTTAATTGGGACGAATAAGATTTAAAACTTCACTTATTGCCAAATATCCAGGATCCACTCTCTACTGAACCAATGTGAAACAGTTCACAGTTTGTCAAACAGAAGCATAAGATGACAGATTCTTTGCAAGTTGAATGTTATACGTTCTGGAACTGATAACAAAAGCAAAAGCAGCAAGAAGCAAGTCATAATGATTGATGGCTAACAATCCAAAGAGCTAGAGGAAGCAGGGAGACAAGCTCTCAGTATGGCATGTTGATTTCCCATCTGCTCCCCCCCCCCCCTGCAGACCTTCCCCCTTCTTTAAGAAAATAAAGTTAAAAATGACCAATAGGTTAAAATTAAAATAAGGCTGTAAATATGCCTATTTAGAATTTATTTTCACCCAACTGAACAAGACATTAGATGAAATGTGTTTAAGGTGGAGCATTAGTAGAAATTATAATGTTCTTGTCGGAGAGTGTTTGTCCACCCATGGCAAAGTCAGAACGAGACTTTGAGTTCCTTTTCTGATTAACCAATTTTATTAAAAGAATTTAACTTTCATTCAACATCAGATAAAGTTGCCTCTGATGAACTGAGTCACAGCTTATAAAACGTATGCCAGTGTTTTTCAAATTTGGTAAGTAAGATGTGTAGACTCCAACTCCCAGAACTCCCTAGCCAGCAAAGGTGCTCCCAGACTCCTTCTTATTTGACTCTCTGTATGTCCTTTTCTTTCTAGAGTGTTTTGGAAATTCCTCCCCCTTAAAGCCATGTGTGGAGCAGTGATCCCAAATCTGACATTCACCAGTAATTTTAGGACTCCGGAGAATTCCTAAAATTCTCAGCCAGCATCACCAAAAGTCATGCAGGAATTGTGAGAATTGCAGGTTTAGAGGATACTAAATTGGGGAAGGTGGGGTGAAGTAGCAACAATTATCCTGCTGTCCAATGTGCTTGTTAATAAATAAAAAAAAGGCAATAGCCTAATACCTAACAAATTATACAGACCTTTGTCATATTTGTACATTTTGAAGTAGCCTACTTCGGCAAAGGAAATCGCAGCAGAATTAGCACAACAAATCTTTGCCAGAGTGGACCTAAAGTTGATCTTCTTTAAGTAACTAAACTTAAAGTTAAATTAAAATATTCCATTTATTTTATGGGCCTCAAGCTGTATCCTTCATCTTTTTCTTTTACTCTAAGCCAAATGGTTTTATATTTTTTATTTCTTAATATTCCATCCTCCTGGCATATCTCCTTAAATCCACCTCTTTTCCTTGTATCTTCTTTCTTCAAGAACATGCATCCAACTCAGTAATTTGTTTATCCATGGATTTATGGGGATTTTTTTTTCTCTCTCTCTCTCTCTCTCTCTGTGTCCTTCCCTTTTCCCTATCCCCACTTCCTACTAATTTCCTAGCTAAAGAAAGTTCACTGGGAGAGACTGAACTACAGCCAGGATCTGATTCTGCTGGAATGGATAGTAGTTATCTCAGCGTGAAAGAGACCAGTGCGAAGACGTCCCAAGAGAGGGCAAGTAATGATCTTCCCAGTCCAATGGACAAGACTGATTCGGAGAGCAACAAGGGCAAGAAGAGGCGTAATCGCACCACCTTCACCAGTTACCAGTTGGAAGAGCTGGAAAAGGTCTTTCAGAAGACCCATTATCCAGATGTCTATGCCAGAGAGCAATTAGCCATGAGGACAGATCTCACTGAAGCCCGAGTACAGGTAAGGGCAGAAACTATAGGTCATGGGAGCAAGAAAATTGGCAAGTCCACAATGCAGCCATGTATACAATAGTAAGCAATATTCTTAAACTGGGATAAATGTACACTGTTCTACAATACACACTGTAGAATAATAAGGCAATGAAAATAGGTAGTCCATTGTATTGAAAACCTTCAAGGAGTCTTTTGAAATGGAAAGCTTAAATTTCTTTCCTGGTGCAAAGGGGCAGTGAAAGCTATTCGATATCTGGGTACAAATTTGATAAGAACTGAATTTGATTTTTTAAAAGCTGAAAAATTTCTTGGTGTTTTGTATACATCTATCTATATATATATATAAGCAAAATACCACTCACGCATCATCACAAAATCCCCAGAACCGTAAAGCCTGCAAACTTGAAATTTGGCACGTACGTTCCTTTTGGCTACTAGGTGCTCACTAAGAAAAGATTTTTTGAAATGACCATCAGAGCATTAGTATTTCATATATTATTATTAACATGCTCTGATGCTAAAGAGTTTTATTCCCCCTCCCCACCTGAAAAGAAATCTGTTCCAAATGCAAAACACAAACAAAGGAGAGGAGTTTCAGTTTCAGTTTCACAGCAGCAACCAGCTTTAGTACAGAACAGTTGAACTAAGCCACACCCAGGCTCCTTGCTGCCTCCTTCTTGCTCACACAGCAAATACTGCTTCAGTTCCCAAACAGCCCTCAACTCTTTCACACATTGACAGGACGCTAGCCAGATGAATACCGACGGATGCTGGTAGGCAGAGGCACAATTTCCCCCCCTTATTTTCCTCTCCAAAAACTAAGCCCAACAGGCTTCTGTATTGTGTTCGTCAGACACAACACAATACAGAAGCCTGATGATGGCAGATGAGATTCTGCCGAAACGTTGCTACAACTTTAAAAGCACAACTACAATGACGTGGGAAAATACCCGAACAAAGCTGAATGCCATACATACACACACACACACACACACACACACACACACACATTGAATGCATAATTCAAGGAGGCAGGTTTCTGTGTTCTACCTCTAGCATTCAACAATGGCAGACATTATATACAACTCTTGGTACACTCATTATTAAAAATCCTTCAGAGAAGCTCAGTGCTGCAGCAGATACTTTGAAAGTATAAATAGTCCTTGGTCATTCAAAGCTACAATGGTGCTGAATGAGGAGACGTATGGATGGTCCTCAAATTTATAGTCATCACAGCATCCCTGCAGTCCACAGGATCATGATTTCAGACACTTGGCAACCAACTTTCAGTTACAATGATCACAGCATCCTGCAGTCACACAATTACCATTTTCAATCCTCTGTAAAGCAAAGTCAATGGGGAAGCCAGCAGGAGGTCACAGATGGGCAATCATGTGACTTCTTGCCTGGCAAGAGCAACAACTGTCATCATAAGTAGATACAGTCATGTGACATCACACTTTACAACTAAATTTCTTAGTAACAGCGTTCCCAGTCCCAGTTTAAGTTGTTTATTCTCAGCATCTCTGGTGAGAGTTGCTTTGAGCGGTCATTAAATGAATGGTTATTAGTCAAGTATGACAATATAGCAATGCATAAGATAAATAAATAAATAAATAAATAAATAAGATGCAATAATAATTTATGTAAAAACAATAAAACGCTAACCCAATCATTCTAACATTTACCAGGAAAGCTTCCTTTCAACCAATTACCAGAATGTCATCAGGTTGGGTATCAACCTAAGTGCAAGCTGGAAGCAACTTCATAAATAAAAGCCTCTCCCAAAAAGTCCTTTTGCAGGCTTTAGGTCTTCACGCAACATAAGAATTGGAAAACCAATGCTAACCTTTCCCAGGAGAATTTATTAGACATATTGACTCTGGTTGGAGATACTTAGGATCCAAACCAAACCTTTACAGGTTAACATCAGTATTTTCAGTCGTATCCGGAGATCTCGTGGAAGCCAATGAAGGCCTGTAGCAAAGATCTTACATCAGTGTGGTGGCTTTCACTCAATAAATGGGTTGCTGTTCTTGTACCAACTGCTGTTTCTCAGGCAGCACTGAGCAGCACACTGCAGTAGTCTAACTGGGTGGAGATGAAGACTTGAGCTACCTTAGCCAACATCTGGATAGACAACTGCATAGAAGTGCTTTTTAACAATTAGTCCTGTTTGTAAGCCACTTCTTTCTCTCTTGCTTCCTTCTATTGTGTAGAGCAGTGGCCCCCAACCTTTTGGGCACCAGGGACTGGTTCTGTGGAGAGAGGTTTTTCCACAGACCGGAAGGGGACATGGTTTCGTGTGCTGCCTACATCCTGCGGATGGGACTTCGCTTGTTTGCACAGGCCAGTTTCTGGCATGCCATGGACCAGTGTCGGTCCACGGATTGGGCCCCTGGTGTAGAGAGCCAAGAAACCTTTGTTCATCCTGGAGTCCTCTCTCATTAATGAAAATCTTTTCTAGCGATGACCCTGCCCTGCAGAAGGTTTTTAAAAGCAAGGTGAAATGTCAAACTTTGCTGAAGCAAAATCCTTGCTGAAGAAGAAAGAGGAGGAGGGCAAAATAAATGTCAAGCAAAAAAGTAATATGTCTTGATCTCCTTTTTCCCATAAAACCTTGGAGGCTAGTGGAAGGAGTGGAAAGGCTGAACTAAGCCTGCAGGAAATTAAACATGAAATGAAAATAAGCTAAAGCCATTCGGCTCTCTTATCCCAAGCTCAAATTTCCCATTCCAAGCCACTGATAAAATGGTGTCCAGTTTCAATGATTAAAGATGAATTCTGGCTCTTTTCCTGTACTCAAACAAGAGAACAACAAAGCTCTTGCCCTCTAAAGGAAAGGGAAGGATAAACTGGATGAAAAGCAGGGCTATGGAACTGTTTGAAAGAGTCAGATGAGGCAAGAAACAGCGATGATGAGAAAGAGCCTGATGTGTGGGTGTGGGAATGTTTTTGTGTGAGTGACAACCCACTTGGAGTATGTTAGGGAAGAACCACAAGTTAAGAGTCAGAAAGTAAAACAGAACTATATATATTTATGTTGATATTCCTGTATTAAATACGGTTCTTTTTTTTTTCTTTTCTTTTTTTACCAAAAATGATACCACCGATGTACAAAGGGAAAGTTCTAACAAGCTTGAAATTCATTTTTCAATGAAACTTTTAGGAACAGATGTTTGTTCCTTTTATAGCCCAGGCAAAGTTTATCAGGGCCATAAATATTTTTTTTAAAAAAACCAAACCTTTACTAAAAACTAAACTAAAAAGTGGGAAGAACAGAGCAAAAAGAATCTAGCCTGTCAAGTGATCTTCTTGGATTAATCTTATTGGGTTGTTTTCTTTTCCCCCCCTCTGCTGGGGGAAAACAGCATATTCCAGTGTTTTTCAATCTTCGCAACTTTAAGTTCTCTGGACTTCAACTCCCAAAATTCCCCAGCTAGCAGGCTTGGTAATGGTTCGTGGTTCTCTTACTTAAAGCATAAATTGTTTATAATTGTGGTAGCAGTAACAATAGTAGAAACATCATACCTTCCAAGTTATGGAAATTCTATAGCAATCTAATTAAACGGTGTTTTCTACCACATGAAGTACTGTCAACTTTTTTTGTAAATAATTCTTCCATTTATCTAAATCAAAGAGAAAAAGTGGCCAATTTAAAGTGGGTGGCAATAACTTAGTCAACTTGGATTGATCTCAAAAAGGGAGAGGATAATAGGAAATTAAGACTCAAATTCAACTTGAAAGAAACGTTGTTATTAAAAGGGGGGGGGTGTTCATACACCTGATGAAAGATTTTCTGCCAGAACCAATTTTCCTCCACAAATTTGGGAAATGGCATGTGGAAAATATTAAGGTTTCCCCCACTATTAGGTACCAGGGCTAATTAATTCCACTCTCTCTAAGACTGTTGATGAGAGCAACCAAGACATAATATGATGTCACATAAAGTCCATATTATGGGGGGGAAGTAAATATTGGTGATCTGTTCTAAGTAGCAGTTGTAATTGTCATAATATATAGGTCTTTCCATAATATAGTATACAGTTATATTCAATGGTAATGCCCATCTTCTTGCTATTTTAGATACAGTACCTTCATTAGCATTGTGAGCCTTTTTGATGCATATGGAAAATGGCTTCCTTTCTTTCTCATGTGGGAGGGGAAAGAGTTTAGAAAGAAAGTATCCTAAAACAAAGTAAGGGGGTATTCTTTGATGGCTGAACACATCAGTGCTCGGGAGGACAAAAATCACACCAGACAGGATAATGGCACAAAGTGGAAAGGACTAGCGGAGAATTACCCCTTCCTATTTTTTTTGCTGTTGGGATGGAAATTCCACTGCTTTTAAAAACTGTGTTCAACCTTTTTAAGGTCATATAGCGGCTTTTATTTTTGCTGAATTAGTGCAAGGGCTGAATTCCAAAAGTCCAGCCATAAACTTCTTGCAATCACAGAAAAATGTAGGTGCTATATGAAGCCATTCCTTGGAAGGTTGCTCCTTTACTCCTCCTTAAACTACATATATAAAGAGCTGTAGTGGCATGGTGGTGGTATCAATGGTGGGATTCAGCTGGTTCAAACTGGTTTGGGTGAACCGGTTATTAAATTACCACCACCATCCCGTTATCAAAATGGATCCTGGGCATTGCACTGCAATGGAGAAATGGATTTCTCTATTGCAGCGCAGCGCTCAGGATCCACTTTGATAGTGGGGGGAGATTTAACAATTAGTTTGCCCAGGGTCAGGTTGGCTGTTGCAGGAGGCTCATTCCGCAAATGCAGCAGAGCTGGAAGACAGGGGTGGGCCATGCCTCCCACGACAGCCAACCTGACCCTGGGTGAACCAGTTGTTAAATAATTTGAATCCCACCACTGGTTAGAATGCAATATTGCAGGCTAATTCTGCCAACTGCCAGCAATTCGATTCTCACCGACTCAAGGTTGACTCAGCCTTCCATCTTTCCAAGGTCAGTAAAATGAGGACCCAGATTGTTGGGAGTAATA